TTTACCAAATAAAATGATTTGATTCGCTTTAAAACTCAAATTCCTAGTTTTAACATAAAAAAATCATCAACATAACCACTAATACATTTTGATTCATTCTCACATCCCTTACCTTTATATTTTCTACAACCTTTAATATCATCCAAAATCTTAAAATCCATGAAACTTTTCTATCGCCTTTTTAAATTTGATCTTAGAATATTAGATCTCCTAAGCCTATTTAATCTTGACTCATTCAGAAGAAAAACCAACAAGTTAATTATACTTTCTTAAGATATTTAACTTTAATCTACTTGAACAAACAATGAACACAAAATAAAAAAACTCTAAACAAAACAAAGTTTAAGAGAAAATATCATTTCAAGTGAGCAAATAAGATATGTTATACAACTCCAACACATACATAAAGATTGCTAAATTCAAATGAAACTCAAGAATCAAGAAGTCGCAATACCTCTTTATGCAAACATCCTAACAAAAAGATTGAAATTATCCTCATGAATGAGCTTTCCATCTTTACAAGCCCCAAAAAACTACAAATGAGGTATCCCATTACATGAAGAAAATATATTACAAAATGCCACAAACGAAATACCTAAACACTAATAAATATTAATAAATAAAAAATCCAAACAATTGCAAATAATGGAATTGATTAAAATTATCAAATTAAAATCGATGAAACAAATCTCTATGACTCACCATCTAACTTGATGTCAAAGCCTTTCAAAAATAGCAAACAGTAAAATTCAGCCTAAAACCTTACAAAACAAGAAGAAAATAAATTATACAAAATATAATGAAAATACTTAGCAAAGATAGACTCCTTTTAACAACAAAAAGATAATTTATGTTGTATAGACAAGTATATCACTTGAATAATGTAAATTACTTTACCATGAAATAAGGTTTTTTAGTAAGGATAGAAATAAGAATTAACAAAACTTTCCCTAGCAACAACTGAAAAAGCTTCCAATTTGATCCAATCATTAAATGTTATTCCATCATACACGACATAGGCATGCATGAAAGATAAAGAGTAATCATATTTACATTGTTGCATGCTAAGTAAAATGATGCTACAGAGGAGCAAATTCTATCATGGAGACAATAATATTTGGATGTCTAGATTCTTTGTTTTACTAGTTGTCTTATTGTACAAAGCACAAATGTCTATTATAACTTGCAAAATCATACTGTCTTAAGATATAAAATCATGACTGTGTTGGCACAAATAGATGAAAATATTTGAACATAATCAGTTTTTTTTTTAAATTTGAAAAAAGGTTACATTCATTGTTAACAATTGTAGGTATTTAACTTTGGGATGCTAATTAAACTTGTAACGTAATGTACATCTTTTTTCATTTTTTCCTTGGAGTTCAAAAGAAGGTTGCATTTGTAGCTATATTTAACTCTAAATTAAATGCATAATGCTAATATATATTTACATTTTTTCATAATTTATTCTTGCACCCTTGGGTTTGGCCATGATTAAAGAATTTTTTCTTTAATAACAGGCATTAATAACCTAAATTCTGTAATTTTTTTTTTTTTTATGAAACTTCAGCTCCAAATCCCTTATTTCATTGAATTGTCATTTAAAAAATCAAAAAGTTTTTAACTGCATCTAGACTTTCAAATTAAATCACAATTATCATTAGAGCATTGAAGTGTAATCAAATTGATAGTTAAGATCCTCCTTTCAAACAATAAAATATATGTAAAGAACTTTTACTTCCTGCCAAAAAGCAATACTTGCAATAGCTGTGTGACCAACAATTAATTACATTAAAAATAGCAAATAATCACACCTTTTTGCAAGAGAACTTTCTAATTTTTTCAACCTAAGATCAATTATTCTAATTTTTTTATACACAAACATTGTAGATCTGGAAACGGTATAACATGTAATCTTTTTAACACTTTTTCGTATTGAAAAAGTGAAAGATAGACACACACAAACACACACTTAGGTTTGGCCCTCCTTAATTTGTTCTTAACCTAAAAGTATCTCTCCTAAACTTGTTATGATGACTCGGACAGTAAAAACCAAATCAAATAAAGAATAAATACAACATCAACAGCTTAATACAACAAAGACAAAGCCACAATAACATAGACACAAGAGCCAAAACAAAGTCAAAGAAAGAATGATCAAATCTTGACTTCAATGTTCACCTTAAAAATTTTAAAATGACTTCAATCAACTGATTTCTATAAACCACAAAAAATATGAATAAAATTAGAACAAAATTGTAATTACAAACTCAAATACCAAATACACGACATCATACAAAAATCTTAAAACCCACAAATAACATACTTGAAAAAAATATATATATATAGGTTATTACAATATCGACAATCACAACAATATCAATTCAAAACCCATAAAATAACATACATAAAAAAAATCAAACATAAAACTAGTAGCTTTCAATCCAAAACTCAAAGCCTAAATGCCCAAATTAACCTTTCATTCTTTTAATATAAAAGCAAACATGATAAATCTTAGCCTTATACCAGAAAACATTAAAAAATCCATAAGACATGTCATGCTAGTCCAGAAATTTATCAACATAAAAAAGATAATGTATTGCATTCTCACAATAAAGTAACCTACAACTTATCTAAAGTAAACCATCAATTTGATAAATTTTCTTGATAGTAAATTCAACAAACAGTAAGGAAGAGTTTAACAGTTTTTCCAAGGAAACAATTGCATCATATCAAGATTACTCTATTAGACATCATCTTGCTTTAGACACAAACTCTCACATAACCCACCATTAAAGGATTACTTTAAAATCCCTAAAAGAGCAGGGGATGAATGATAAGTTGATAAGACGAAGATAGTTAGGCAAAAACAACTCACTTCATATGTAAAACACACCAAGACACAATTTTCTCTCATATGAATCAAAAAATTTAACTTACTGCTCTTTTACTACACTAACTCATTTTTATAGTAATATTATAGTTCAACATAATCTGAAGGTTTTCAATACATGATCACCCATTGTTTCCTTTAACTCCTATCTCTTTCTTTTAGATAGAAATAGAGAAGACATAGCTTTAGCTGACAAAACCTTCCTCACAAGTAGCTTCCACTTTGCATCATCACCCATTTTCTTTTGTTGAGTTTTAAATTTGAATTGTTTGATAAAAAAAAGAAGAAGAGAAATTGGAGAAGTAATCGTGCCTACAGGCCAACAATGCTTATAGTAGTTGAAAAGAAAGAATAAATGGACCCAATTGCTCTAGAAAAAATCACAAACATATGACTTTTAAGATCGACCAGGCTTGATACACTAATAACGGATAATGATGGATTTAATTTTACCTACAAAGTCGAACCCTATAAGAATCAAGCTAATCACAAATAAAGGAATGGAGTCTAAAAAGCTGCCATATCTACTCATACTGAGAGCTCTTTTCTTTATTAGCCCTTTTTTTTTGCAAAAAGCAAAGTGTTTGATCTACAGCTAGGCACCTTGGCATGTAGTGTATTTGTTGCTAGGCCCAGTTCTCTTTGCTGGCTCCACGTCATACGACTCGATGGTCGTGCACCCTTCCATGCAAATGTGCTCTAAACACTCTATTGCCTTGCTAGAAAAAAAAAAAAAAAAAAAAAAAAAAAAAAAAAAAAAAAAAAACCCAACTTAACAAAAAATACCATGCACAAAAAAAAAAAAATTCAAACACAAAACTCATACTTAAAAAATCTTATATCTAAATAAAAAGAACAATATGCATAACACAAGAGAAATAAAAATAATTAATCAAACAACTTGCATGTATAGAAACAACATCAAAATATCAATAAAAACATATTGACAAAAGAAAAAAGAACCACTTATAAAAAAAGAAAAAAATTAAAAAAATCAAATATGAGAAAAAGAGAAGAAACTCTCTTGAACAAAAAGAAAAAACAAAATAATAAAAACACTGAAAATTGTTAAAAAAAAAAAAAAAGCAAAAAAAATAGAAGAAACAAAAACCAAAGCATTAAAACAAGTTTCGTTGCTAAGCTATTGATGACCATAGAGATAGAAAGGAAAAAATTGTGAGTCATTGCTGGAGGAATCAATGGTGTCAGCATCAGTAACTGAAATCTAAACAATTCGAAACTTCATTTCTAGCTTATTTTCGACTCAGACATTTAACAATGTTGAAAGAAGTTTAGTTTGATTGCAGTGTTCTATGTATTTGATTAAAGGAACAGGACAATGATCCATTTTTTTCAATCCTTTTTTTCTTCATTTCGAGTTATATGGGTTTTCATATTCTTTCACTTCTTATTGAAACAAGAGAGAAAGTAAGAGATGAGTGAATTAAAAGAAATAAAAGGTAAAAAAAAGTAGATGAACCTTATAGAGAAAAAATTTTTTAATCTTAAAATTACTTTTGGACTTTTCTTTTTTACATTGCAAATTTATCCCCTCGATGCAAAATGGGAACAACTTTTAATATAAGTTATAGATAATCTTATCTATTCTTACGAATCATTTGAAATTATATGCGTTCTTTTATTCTATGTTAAAAAGTATAAATTTGTTTTCTTGCCAAAATTATCAATTTTGGTCATCATTATTCAGGTATCTTAGTCCCAATATTTATATTAAATTGATAATTGATGAGAAGTAAGTTTTAATCATCTCTTTCTTTCGTAATTATTGATTAATTTAATGAGATGAACTATTAAAATGATAATTTATTTAGTCTTTCTATAGCATTTTATATAGTTTTTTGGCTGACGTTGGTATGTTTTAAATTTTAAAAAATTAAAATAAAAAAATTAAATTAAATTAAAAATAGAACATACATAAACATAATTAAAAAGAAATAATAAAAAAATCACGTAGCTCACCGTTTTAGGCAAAAAAAAAAAATAGTCACCAAAATCTTTTAACAACATTCTACATCAACAATTTAACAATGACTATTGAAAAAATATAAAAATAATATATTCAATAGAAGTACGAAGATCGAAATACTTAAAATAAAAGATAGGGTAAATTCTATAATTTTGTAAGGTACATACTAAATCTATACCCCAACATAATTTTCGAATTAGTCACCTGTGAAGATTTTGGACTCCAATTTCGATGGATGTATAATATCTCAAATAATTTTCTTAAATTTAAATGGGAAAAAATGAAAAACTTAACGGATCACAAGAGACACAACGTTGTAAACCATTAAGGTAGGTGACTTTCCAAAGCTAAATCTTTCCGTACATTATCAGTTCCTTCGATTAGCAAAAACTTAGAACTCTAGAAAAAGACTTAACGACAATAATGTTGAGAATCTTCTTCTCAAAATTAAACATTCCGTCCCTTCTCACTTAAGGCCATTTTTTCAGCCAAGCCACCGTCTGTGACCCACGTTTGTTCTATCATTGTTGAGCGCATTGGACCCTCTGGGCACCACCATGCATGTCATCATCTTCCTCGTAAGCTTCTTGAGCCTGTGCCTGTTTCCTTCGCATCTCTTCCTCAATGTTAACATCATGCAGAGTTGTTTCCTCACACTCATCCAGTTCCATGTCAGTCAGCTGGACTGAGGCCCTTGGAGGTAGCACAGCCTCTAGTGCCTTGCAGTGGTCAGGGTTCAAGGAGTCCGGAAAATCAACAGTGAAGTGAATGTATAGTTTGCCCCTCATGAATGGTCTTTGATACATTGGCATTCCTTCATCATTTACAGCCTTGAATTGATCTATGTAATACAAAAAGAGAAAGCAAAGATCAATATCAAATGCAGATAAAACACATTCCACGCATTAAGGGACACAGATTAGAAAGATCAATATCCACTAATAGATATTGAGGAATCATTAAATGAACACCAATTAGAAAGATGAATACCCATTAACAAACGAAGAGGGTTCATTCCAAAAATTAATATCTAATTATATGGTACAAAAATAACAAAGGCATACGTCTATCATAAAAATATTGGTGCACTCTATAAAACCTGGCAGAAACTCCCAACTTACCAGGCTTAACCACTTCCCCAGGTTGTGACTTAATGAGGAGTTGTCTGCCATCTAGGTGGGTCAGTATAAACTGGAAGCCACAAAGTGCCTCAGTAAGTGTCAATGTATGCTCTACAAATAAGTCATCACCCTTTCTTTTAAATTTGGGATTATCTTTCTGTTGTAGGACAAATACAATGTCCCCAGTGACTGTGTCAGGCTGCAAAAGAGAAATTGTTACCAAACAACCAAGTTAGCAACAGCAAGAAAGCTGGATTTAAAGAAATACAACAAAATGCCAAGTTCATAACAAAATTGCAATTCCATTTAAAAGATTATTGGCCTTACTGCTTCATCAGCTTCTCCAGGGAAAGTAATCTTCTGTCCATTCTGCATACCCTTTTCAACAATAACCTCCAGGACTTTCTTCTCCTGAACAACCTTCTCACCTTTGCAATTTGGGCAGCGATCCTTGTCATTGATTGTCTCACCAGTACCCTTACACTCATTGCACGGATGCTGCATCTGTTGGATCATGGAAGGACCAAGGTGTCTGATGGACACTTTCATTCCAGAACCTTGACAACTGGTACATTTCATTGATGCACCTGACTTAGACCCTTTACTGCAAAATTTTCATGTAAAACAACTTCTGTCAACATAGACAAGAGAAAGAAGTCGTCTAACTGACATCAATAACACAAATGTTACTCAATTCAAATACTAACCCCTTGCACTTGATGCAAATAATGTTGCGCGAAAGAGAGAGCTTTTTGGACGTTCCATTGTAGAGATCTTCCAAAGATACCTTGAGCGGATGGATTACA